AATAGCTGGGTAAAATCCCAAGGTATGTTTTCAGTGCAGCATGGACACGTACTGGGTAAAGTTAAATGGGAATTTTCGACTGCACAAAAAAGCAACTGAGATAACTTAGAAAATGTCAGTTTTACAGGATTTGCAGCTTGTTAAGGTACAGGATGACAAATTGGTAGATTAGTGGAAAGTAAACAAACTAAAACACAAGACTTCGTTAGGTTCTCCTGCCTGTGGAATTTTCTGGAGTTCAGAAAGTTGTGCTATTGGCTTGATTAGCTGTGCTGTTGTGATCTTTATATAGAAATGAGGAGTTTGCCTTAAATCAGGTAGTTATTCCTCATCCATGTATCAAGAGAGAATGACAGTATTCTGTAATATATTGTAATATATACTTGGTGATAAATGGATTGAGTGCTGTCACAAGTCATCAGGTCGTCTTTGAAGATCTATGACTAGAACGTAAGCAATTTTTTATCTTACTGTCGATATTTATCAATTTATAACTATTGCTAAAGTGAACATAGATTCCTCTTATTAAAAAATGATGCAAAATGTAATCTGCTCGGGCTTGCTGCTTCTCCTTTTATTTTGGCATAAGATGAGACATGATCTCTGTCTTTCATAGATATACATTCATGCACATCGGAGTTTTTCACTCTTTACTCTTTTTTTTCTCTCATCTGTTAAAATTGGTGTTAGTTATTAGAATGTATAATACATGGAAAAAGCATATCCTTGATTAAATACATTGACAGATTATTCTGCATTAGATGTAGAATTTTATTTTGATATTAAGTTTCTAGATTTAATTGTTTGTGTCACTAAGGTCAAAATAGTTGCTAAAAACCCGTGATTGCTTTACAGGGTAGATTTGAGCTTGCATTTTGAGTATTCATTAAGTCAGTTCTAGCAAGATAATCTTTTTAAATGTTTTATGGGAATTTTCTGGTAAGAAGCTGTTTCAGTTCCCTGTGTGGGAAATATTTGAAAAAAAATCTGAAAAATATTTTTTTCAAAGCAGTTTTGTTTTTTTACCATATCATTTGCCATCAGCATTTTATTGATACATGTTATAAAAAAATTCTACCAAGGCAAAAAAATATGCTGCTATTCAGGCATCTTGTTTTAGAAATAGAAGTTTTGCTGTCTTAGCTGTTTGATCTTTGGGACTGTTCAGAAAGGAGGAGGAAAACAACAGTTTGTTGTTATTATTATTATKTGAAGTCTTAAATTAGATGTTAACCAAAAAAGTATGTTTTCTATCTGTCAGACAGTAGATATATTTGCTGAACCGACTCCTCAGTAGAGCAAATGATCTGATTTTATGCAGGGAGATTGTATTAAAAACTGACATAAAAATCTACAACTACCACGACTGTGGCAAAAGCTGAAGTTATAAAGAATACTGATGATATGTAATGTGAATTTCAGAGCTGTTATGGCATCTGATTCACTTCTTGTTATTTAAATTGACCACGTCATAGTAACAAAAATGTTTTTCCCCCGTAATTTAAAGCCAAAGTTGAAATTCCAGAAAAGTATGCAAAAATGTTATATGCTTTCACATCATGTGCTCAGAATAGGCAAAGTTGCGTTAGGTGCATTCAGATGGCATTCAGAGGAGGTATTACCAAATTAACAGGTGTTTAATTAGTGAGGGAGAGTAGATTTTTCAAAGGCAGGCATACACGTGGCCTAATCGTTAATATTTTAGGGAATTTGAAAAGTTCTAAAATATTGGAATGTAATTTCAGTGAAGTCCTGGTATGCCCCTAAAACAGTGCTTAGTGATTTGGCTTTATTTTTTGCCTCTCACTGTGTGCTTCTGCAAATATATGTATTTTTATATATATATGTATATATATATATACTTTTTTTTTTGGATGGATGGATGATTGGAGAAGGATTAAATTGAAGCAAGGAAAGCCTGCCTGGCTAGGGACATAACAGCTGATATCAAAATAGCTCATTTGAGTTTCCGTCTGTGCCGTCCTCACCTTTGAGGAATCTCGTATCACCTGATACTTGAGCAGTGCTCGGCACTCGGCTGAAGGAAGGAGCTGCACGGAGGAGGGTCTCACCAGCACCACGCCTCAGTGTTTCCCCAGCACAACAGAGATGACAATATTGAGCTGGCATACACTTGTTTATGAAGCCTAATTCGTAACTGTGCAAAGCAGTAACCACATTAGCTGTACAATCTCATTAAATGTTACAAAAGCCATGTACGGTGTCTCAAGGTGTAATTTTCTTGTGAATATAGATTTTCTGACATATAATATATGAAAAGGTTGGTTGCTCCTGCATCTATATAATTTTCTAATGCTTTCGAAAAAAAAGTAGATGGGTACATAAAATTCTGCTTATCACAAACAGATAAAATATATTTGTACTCAAATGGATATATTAAGACAGACTACTGTAAGGCTGCAGAAAGATTATTAGAGAAGCACACTAAAAGATGACAAAATGCATTCTTTCTCAGGATAAAATTAGAGTCTAGAAGATT